ATTATTTATGAGATTTAAACATATATCACTCAAGTCCTATGTATGTACATATATCAGTTCTATTTGTATGAAAATATGTATTATACATTTTAAATTAAAATAGTGATATCTTGTATGTGATATGAAATATTTGAGGTAACATTGAGATGTTAAATCTATAAAAAATATAGGAATTTGGTGGTATGCATGCAAATGCCCACATAATTTAGCATGTAACTAATTCTCAACTTATTTTATATGTAACCCATGATTTCAAGCAAGGAAAAATTTAAAGGAACATATTAATAAGGGGTAGTAAGTATTTTTTTTTAATAAATTATAATTGTTTATTTATTGTTATTATTATTTTTTCGCAGTCTCCAGTAATACAATATTTTAACGGATATAAAGATGGAAATTACGGTAATTATTTATGTTTTTTATTTTATAATTTGTGCATTAAATTATATGATTTAAGTTATTTTTGCTTCTTGTTAATTTTCATAACATATTTAGTTATTTTGAGATTTTATGAATAATGGATGAAAAAAAAATCATCTAAATATTTATTTTTGTACATTACCATTAAGTTTGATGTTATATTTATTATTGGGGAGATTTATGTATCACAATTCTAAAAAACTAGCACATAAATATTCAAATTTGGATGCATATCACAGAAATTTTTAACATCCTTTTAAAAATATTAATGCATACAAAAATATGGCGGCATGAATATCAAGACAAACGAACGACTCAAGAAAAAATGGGTGGTCAATTAAATAACAAGTTGATTGTAGGTTCTAATGACCAATGAATCAGACGCTGATGAAAGAATTATAGGGTGAACGATTGGAAGTGTCTGTCAAAGGATTTCAGCCCCTAAATGACGGTTTGCTTTATTTGAACGGGTCGCCAGTTGATTTGACCTTGAATTAAGTATTGACGAAGTAAAATCATGAAGAGCGATCAACGATCTTCTCATTGTCTTATTATATTCAAATATTCTTTTAATTATTGAAAAACTTTCTTAAAAGGTTAATGATGAAGGTGTAAATCTGTGATTTTGTAAGATTGGGATCCATTCTTATAAATAGGGGGTCAATATCATTAATAAAGATCACACATTATCTAATATTCTCCAACATACTCTCTTTTTAGTGTGATATTTTATATCTTGGATGTGTTACCGAACACTTTCAGATTCAACATCTTTTAAGGTGTCGTGAGCGTAGAAACATATCATCAACAATAAAAGGCACTCAACAACAATAGCAAGGAGAATTGCGTCAGAGGGACATGGTAAAAGCATCGAGCACTAGGGAGTTCATGGAGAAATTAGTTCATCAAGGCTTGCAGGACCGGAGGACTCAAATCACCAACCAGATGTCAAGGCAATTCACAGAGGTGATCAGAGCAATAGCTGCCCTAGGGGCGGTCCTAGTTCCAGATGGAGAACCAACCCAACAAAGGGCACCTAACGATCCTCAAGAGAAACCGCCAACGAACAATAGAAGAAGAACAATCCACCTGTAGCAGAAACTCGACGATGTGTTCTACCAATATAGCACTGAATCCACCTCCGTGGGGAAGAGGAATCGACTGGTGCGGTCCGAGGTATTGCGACAACTAGAGAATGTCTTCTCGCTGCAAGTCACGGGAGCTGAACCCCCTATAGAAGTTTAAGATGCATGTCCTAGAGTCATACAAAAGGCGGCGAACCCCAATGACCACCTCACGTTGTTTGAATCTTCTGTATGCCAACTAAAACTTTCTTATGCTTTCGAATGGAAATTGTTCTTCCCAACGCTAAGGTCATCTACGCTAAAATGGTTCGACGGGTTAACCCCAAGGGTGATCACGTGTTTTGCAGAGTTTATGCGGCTCTTTCTATTATAGTTTGTTAGCGCTGTGAGACCCAAAAAAAGAACACCCAACCTTTATGGAAACTAAAATAAGGAGTCGATTAGAGCTTATGCTCATTTATTGCATGGTTCCAGAGAGAAAAATTGGATGTGAAAGACTTGAAACCTGACATGGCCCAGCCCCGCGCTAACACAAGGGGTAAGGTTAGATATATTTTGCTTCGACCTTGATCATGCAGAGCCACAGAGCCTGATCGAGCTGTTAGAGATGGCCAGTAAGTACATATTTGCCTATGAAAAATGCCCTCAAATTTGTCAAACAAAGAAACAAAAAGAGGTCGTTGCAGGACAACTGGAGGCAACTAAGACATAATGAACGACCGATCATCCACCCCCGCTACAAAAATTACCCCAGCAACATCTCGATCCACCATCATGAGAACCAAAAAAGAAAGATGAAGGCCCACCATCACTGATCGACCCAGTATCATGAACAGCCCTGGTATGACCACATGATCCCCCGAGCAATCTCATTGAGGCTGCCAATGGTAGAAATAGTGGACGCCATTAATGATAAGAAATTCTTTAAGAAAGCAACACCAATGAGAATTGAAGCCATTCTTTGGGATAGTACGAAGTACTGCAAATAACACAAGGACCACGGGCATGAAACGGAGGAATGCAAGCATCTCTGGAGCCTGATTGAAAAGTTGATAAAATAAGGGAAGCCGAAAGAATTTGTCGCCACTAGGGCTGCGATCTAGAGATAAGGCAAAGCGCTCGTGGGGGCAATGACAGATGGACCCATCTGCACCAACGTCGTCCACATCGTAGGATTCGTGCTCGTAATATTCAGAGGAAACAAACCACCCAGAAGGATGAACCATAAAAGACAAGAAACAAGGGAACCCTATGTCGCAACCTTCACACCAAAAAGAAAGGGTCATCCACATATTTACTTGACTGATGAGGATCTGCCGTCGAAGGGAAATCCACATAATAATGTTATTGTGATAACAATGGTAATCAATAACTACCAAGTAGGTAGCTCCCTCAACGACATTGGGAACTCGGTGAATGTGTTATTCAATCGGGTGTTCGATAAGCTAAGTCTTACTGTCGATCCAATGACTATACCCGTTGGGCCACTATACGACTTCTCGGTGAGAGAAAGGATGCACTAGGAGTAATTGGGGCTCCCAATGAGCTAGGGGGGGGGGGGGGGGGGAGGACCAG